AAGCACAATAGTCAGTGATGGAGTGTTGCACAAGAAAACATGGATGTTCTAATCAGACCATGTAAGAACACATGTAAAAGTGTCCTGAGAGTCGAGTTGAAGTCTTTCTTAAAAATGCTTATTTGTAACTTTTCAAAGGTCCAGATTGGGGTCATTCAACAAAAGAAGGACCTCTTCAAACCCAAAATTTCAAAAGATCCGTGCTTTTATACCTAAGAAGATAAAGTGTCAGAAGCATGGGCAACTGGTGCTGCTTTAGTCAGGGGAGGCACTCCCCTGAGACCAGTCCCACTGACCAGGGGGATTCCTCTGAGGCCGATCTCGCTGTCTGGGGGGTGTCCCCCTGTGGCTGATCACACAATGGCTGATCGCTGCGGCCAATTGCTGCAGCTGCTTCCAGGAGTGGCTGCGGCCACTTCTGGGAGTGGCTGCAGCAATCAGCTGGTGCTTGCAGGGGGGGCACTGGCACTCTCAGGTGATGCACCTGCACCCCCGCGTACCCTGTACGCATCACTGGTCAGTAAGGTACGTTCCTTCTTTGCCTGATCCAAATGTGCTGTGTCCCAAAGAAAGATTCATAACTACAAGATAAAGGAGATAGATGGTCTCCTCACAGTGGAGTTATTGCAGCAACTGGCTAAACATGAAGATAAGAACGGACTATCACCCCAACAGTGCTGTTGAGTGCTTTAGAATAGAATCCACCCTCTAACAATCATGTATGATAAATGGGGACAGCTGAGAAACCCAGTTGTCATTCAGGAACCAGTAAAAGGGACACCATAGCAACAAAATATGCATATAGATAGCGATACTTCATTTTTAATAATAAGTAGTGAAAACCCCCAAAAGAGTACAATTTTAGAAGGTTTGAATAAAAAAGAAAGTTGAGTACATCTAGTAAGAAGTTAAGATTTTGGGTTCATAAGTCTACTGCATTGCCAGTTTGCTATTTGTCATTTGGACTGACCCAGCTAGGAGGAACTGGGATTTTATGAGTGGGTGCTCTTAAAGAATAAAATGCCATTGTGGATCTAGTGAATGGACAACTATTGATACAAGTGGGGCAGGGGAACATGGACAGAGTGATTTGTTCAAATATGGTAACTGTTATTGTTGTGGGGTACAGGTGTGCTGCTATAAAGGCAAAAGAGGAGTTAATCTTGTCCCTGTGGCCCCCACAAATTATAGAAATAGATAAGCGAAACCCAACAGGCTGAGCACAGAATAAAATTATTATGTGGAAAAACTGACAAGGAGATTTTAATTGAGGGGCGAGGCCTGCCTCTGCAGCGATAGTACAAATTTCCACAGGAAGTAGAAGCAAGCATAGCAAAAACTATTCAGGCTTTGAAACAATAAGGGATATTAATTGAAATGCTTAGTACTAATAATAGCCCAATATGGTCTGTGAAAAAGGCTGATAGAAAAATCTGGAGATTATTTATTAACTGTCAATCCCTGAATATGGTTATACTGATGACAACCCCTGTAATGGCCAAATATCCAGAAGTCATGGCAGCTATTCAGGAGGGGCAAAGTAGTTCTCAGTTCTTGATCTATCTAATGCATTATTTGCCATACCACTACACCCTGATTCCTAGTATAAATTTGCTTTTACTTTTCCTGGTCAATAGTATACCTTTACTTGGGTGCCTCAACGGTTTAATCAATCAAGCCCCAACAATGTCAAAACTGTGTGATAAAAATGTGGGACCATCTAGATCCCAATGATCAAAAAACAAGTGATATCGTATGTGGTGACTGGGCCCACAGAAAAGGAGTTTTGGGACAGAACAGACAAAGTGTTGAAAATTAAAGAATAGACTAAGTTTAAGATAAGCCCACAGAAGGCTCAGCTGGTGAAAAGCTTGTGAGATAGCTGGGGATAGAGTTGAGTCAATCAGGATGGACACCTCATAAACAAAGGGTGCTGTTGATGTGTAAACTCCCTGCCCCTAGTTATATTACTGCCTTAAGATCTTTCCTTGACTTAACTGGGTTTTCTAGAGAATTTAAAGAGGGATATGCTGAAAATACAGTTCCATTGTATAAATTCCTCAAAAATGGAATGCCTTGAGAATGGGGGCCAGAGAAATCTCAAGCAGTCAAGCAACTAAAAGATACACTGCTCCAAGAGTAGTAAAGATGAGTGACCCTAGGGAGGGGCAGAGCCACTGACCTGGAGAAACAGATATATTGGATGGGATAATATGGAAATACTGGATGTGACAAAAATACTGGAATTGACAATATGGAAATACTTGGATATGACATAGAAACAGCTGTGAGGCATGGAGCACATGTAAGGTGAGGTTGGAGCAAGTACTTAGGCCCTTTTTATCAGGAGGTTGAGCAATGGGCTGCCTCCCACCTTAGAAATACCATTCATATTATTTTCAACAAGGCATGGCAGGCAAGTGAGGTGGGGGTTTAACCCTGAACAGGCAGGTGGCCAGCAGTGAGACCCAGCCCTGAAAGGCCAGCCTGTTACATGTAGTAGTGGATCTGGTTTACCACAACCATTTCATGTTGGTCTATGTAGGCTAAGGATGCATCTATGTATATACATTGTGTAGTTATGTAGTTAGTAGTCAAAAGTTGAATTACTCTGTATCTTCTGTCAATAGCAGCTTCTGCGCGTGCAAATGTATGAATCCAATTTTAACTTTACTACTCTGGCATTTACTGTTCATTTGTTGCTGCATAATTCAACTTTATATTATAATGTTAAATCTGTCCCTACAGGAATGAATTTCCATTTATTATAGCAGCTGCTAAAACATGCAAAAACTGTTAACCGGAAATGCTGACTGTACGCACCAGATAATGGTCTTGGTACAGCATAATGGTAAAGACATCATTTCTGTACTTTAAAAAGTAAAAACATCAGGGGAGCAGCATTGGTGGGAGGCATAGCTTGGCTGGTCTCCAACTGAAACAGGTCTGTTAAATCTTATAATACACCCCATTGTGGTCATTTTAGTGGTTCAAATTGTAGTAATAATATGGATGGTACTTTTATGGATTGTACTTGTCAGTCTGGAGGTGGAGAAATCAAATGAGGGCTATAGAACAGCAAGGCTTTTTTAGCCTAGTAGCCAAACCCCTTATTTAATGTGGGCCATGCAGCAGCACTGCCAGTAATGCCTCTATCAAAGGAAGGTGACCCTTGGGTGCTGAGAAGACTACTTGTTTAATGTTAGTAGATTTTAATTTAAATGCTATTAGCTATAACTATGCATGCAATGTTAGGTTATGTATGTCACTCATATAATTACTTAAAAGGCTTTAATGACCAGGCAAGCCATGATGGAAGCCCTCCTGCACAAAGAATAATGACTGGGACAAGTATGGATTGAGGTGACAAGACTACCATAAAGATCAGTTTCTGCTGATGTTTGCAATCCATTCGGCATAGAGAAAGTGGAGCTTGCAGCACCCAATACCAGACCCATGCCATAAAATGGTAACAGTCTGACTCTTGAGTCACTGCCAGTTATGTTTTTTATGTGAGGATTGTAAGGCAATGCTATGTACTGTTGCTAGGCATGCTCATTTTCAAGAGGCCTAAGCTACAGAAAGTGTGGCCAAGGCAGAAAGACTCCAGAAAGCCTGTGTTTGAGTGACCATAGAGTAAACTCTTGCAGATGCAAAAGGCTGGCTTGGTCAGCTAAGCAAAGGAAGCCATCCATGGGCATGTCCAAACAAGTTCAGTTTACAGTGATGCAAACAGGACATAGCAAACATGCAACTGTGTACCATACTGCAAATCTGCAAATTTGCAGCTCATTGCCAAAATTTGATACCGTCATGTCCTGGTATTGAAAAAAAAACACTGTAAAAAGTGGTATGGTACACATAGCAGCAGCATGTGTCACCAGAAATGGAGTCTGGCTATCTACAGCCATGCTCTAGCTGCCAGCCAGGCTCTGTGTGGCCAGATCAGCACCACTTCTGCCTTGGGAGGTCCCCAGAACCCCAGGTAAGACTGCTGGGGCCAGCACAGAACAACTGGTGTCTGCCTGGAACAATCTGGTGTGTGTCAGTGCGCGTGCAGCGGCATGCCCTGGGGCACAATTTGTGCTATGGCAAAAAGACATCTTTGGGTGTGGAGATAAGCCCCATAATTAGACATATTCAGATAGAACATAAGGCCTTAAGGAGTCTATAAAAACAAAGCAGCCACATCATTCCACAATGGGAAGGGAAGGAGATAAGAAATCCTCCCTATTGCTCCTTTGCTTTGTCAAGGATATAAATCCTAACTAAGTAACACCTTCCAGGTCCACAAGAAATCTAGTTTAATTCCATTCCAAAAGTTTCAGTGAAACCACTTTAAACAGAACCCAAGACAATTCATTAGGATATTAGAATCAGCCATCTATAAATACTGAGTATGAGTTGGAGGGGGTTTTGGGAACTTTTATGCAACACCTGTGGAGCCATCTGGAGGACCCCCTGGTGACAGAGACTGAGAACCAGGCTAGCTTCACTTGGTGGTAGCCAAGACACATCATGTAAGATCATGCTTTGCTATTAATCCTGCTTTGTCAATTAATTAATAAACTTTTTACATCAGTTGGAATGACCCAAGGGTCTGTTTTGAATTTTTCACCCATCCACCCTATTTAAAGTTTGTTAACAAGAATGAAAACAAGAAGGGATTATCAAATGGTATGAGTAGACTATTTTTAAACAGCAATATACTACACATTAAATCAGAGCTATATTTGAGTTAGCAAACAATATACAGAATATACTGAGGGCTGTAAGTTGGTGTTTGAGCTTGCAGATGGGCAGAGTTTTCTTTCTCCCCAATCTACACAGAGAATTCCCATTGATTGAAATGGCAGTTAGATGCTAGTATCCAGAGAAATATGAATTCCATGTCAGTCTGTGGAAAGATTGTGCCCAAGATGAGTTGAATTAAATAATACTCAAAAAGCACCCAATGATACTAAATGTCATAAACTATTTATACCCATTGAATTTTGACTTAAGGATTTCATATTTCAATGTTTAATGTGGGGAGAAAGAAAAACAAAACATACCTCAGATAGTGCTTTTCTTCCAGCACAGCTTATGCCTCCAATGAAGACCATGTTGGGCATCACTGGTCTGGGATACTCTAACACAAAGTCAAATCTCAGTAGCAAAATGGATGCAGAATTCAGAAGGTCCAACACTGTCACCTTTCTTTGAAGAATTTCAGTGGCAAAGCTGACAGCTTCTGAATAGAAACTATCACAGTAAAAAAGTTCTAAGAAGTCAACCCATACATTTTTAAGTTTCTGAGAAAATGACATGTAGTCTGAGTTCTCTGTAAAAAGTCTTGGAATATAAGACAGGGGATTTGGACACTGAGATGCATGGTAGTGTAAACTACATGGCAATCCTCGCATGAAAAGCACAAACGGGACTGGAAAATAATTAGCAACTATTGTTCCACACACACTTATGGGATCAGTGAGGAGAATATCAAAATCACTCTGTTTCAGATACTGCAACAGTTCCTTGTTGTTGAACAAACTCTTGCAATGAGAAAAAAGCAAGTTGAAAAAGGATACTCCAGTTATATATTTGGATATTATATTCAATGGAAAAGGTTGTGCTATTAAACGAGTATCAACAAATTCCTGTAAGGCAGCATCTAGCTCTTCCTTTGTATAAGATACTGGATACATTTGCATGGTATACCCCAATGCTGTTCCCATTTGCCAACTTATTTCTGGCATAACAACTACCACTTGGTGTCCTCTCTGGCTGAGATTTTCCACTAGCTGCCTCATGCTGAGCCAGTGGCTTCCATCCATAGGCACCACCAGCACCTTCCCACCTTCTAAAAATCCAGCCATCATAAAGAGAAACAGTGCAGCATACTGAGAGCGGAGTAGAAGGACAGGTGCCATCTTCCTGCTGGAACTTCAATCCTAAACAAAGATCTGTTTTCAGCTTTTAAAGATGTGCTTCTGCAGGAAGTATAAAGGTCTAACGGTGCTGCCAGATTTTACTATCTTCTAGTTAATTGTTTACAACTTTTGTTTAAACTGAGATTCTTGAAATGAACATTTTAAAGTTTGCAGGTGTAAGGGCACTCTGATTTCAAGATTTTATCAAATGATTAGAGAAAACTAGCTTAACACTGCTTTTTTCTGAGTCAAGTAAACTGAGTTCAGCAGCGTTCAACTAGGAATGAATTTGCTCTATACTCCATTTAGGGAGTGTTTCTCAGCTGTTTAATGACTTTAACCCATCTGCTTTGGTTAAAGCACATTTATTAAAGCAAATGATTGAAGGAACTGTCCTCATGGGCGCCTGGTGCCTCCTGCATTTGCAGGGGCACCAGCGGCCAATTGCTGACTGGGAGCGGGTCCCCCCAGTGGCTGATTGCCACCACCAGCAGAAGTGCCAGTGGCAAACCCCAAAGTGCCGCCGGCCTTTCTCTCAGTGCCTCCACAATCAGCAGATAGGAGGCATTGCCTAAGAAGCACACCACCACAGAGGGTAATAGAGCATCCCATCACCCCTCTTGTGTCTTAAAAGCCTAACTGAAATTGAGAAAAAAATACATGCATTCATTAGTTACAACTTAATCACTGAGGACTGCCTGTTGAATGGGAATTCTAGTAGGACATCACCCAGCTTTTTGTACGCTCATGTTTTAGGCACAAGAACCTAGTGCCACACGAGATGCCCCCCTGGGGGCTGCTCAGTATCCTCTTGTCCTTCATTCCTGAACTATCTTGGAGCTCTCCTCTTGTGGCTACAGGAGGCATGGCTCTCTTTTGGAAGAGAATGAACAGTTGTTTGGGGTGGCCTATTGTCAATGCTTCTCTCAGTACTGTTTCAATTGTGCAACTGTATTAGAAGTTCCTGTCTAAACCTTTGCTCCAGCCACAAACTATGATCAAACTTCTTCCTGAGTTCCTTAAAACATTCTAACATTTCATTAGTCCTGGTTTCCATAAGATAGAAATTCAGTTCCTCCCTCCCCATTAACCTATTGAAGGTATCCTGAATTTCAGATGTCATTCAGTTAGTGAACATAGTTATGTTTTGGGACGCTTCTGCCAGTATCTGAAGAATATTTTCCTTAGTTGTTCTTTGATTTGTTCTATAATTGCATTGACATTGAATGTTAACAGCTGCCCTTGATGATCCAGGAACCACAGCTGCAGTAGTAGGGGTTGCTGTGTACAAGAGAAAAAGAAAGCTCCCATGAGGTGTTCGGCTACTTTTAAACATTTTAAAAACAGTCATTTTTGAAATATTTTAACAGGACATCCTCTGCAAGAATTACCAATGAAAGCCCACATCCACCCAACCATGTTATGAAGGCTCCACCCCAAAAATATTATGATCAGTCTCAAGGCATCCTGTCCCTGACCTGCCTGTACCTGGTACCCCTCCACCTTGAAAAACACGTAGCATCATCCATCCAGTAGGGAGTAGGTTAAATCTGTTTAAGGGGACCAGTCTCCCCAACCCTGGAGACTAAGGACGTGTGCTACAGTACTTTCAGGCCCCATCTCCTGGCAAGTAGCCAGGTCCCACAGTGTGCGGGGTGGTGCATGGGCCCGAGCCTTGGGAGCCAGGGAGCAGCAGAGGCTGCTTGAGTTAGCCACCCAGTGTGAGGACAGCCGGCCAGAGCCTGAAGGGCTTGGTCTGTGCTAAGAGAGCCCTCAGTGCCGAGCCAAGGCACGGGGAAATGGTAATGCTGCAGCATGAGGCCCAGGAGCCAGCAACAGTGGTGCAGCAGCTGAGAGGAGCTGAGCCCCCAGTGCTCAGAGTGGGGCACAGGGTGGGGAGGAGCCTAGCAGCACAGGAGAGGCCTGGAGAGGCGCTCCAGCAGAGGAGACCCCATCGAGCTGCACCCTGACCACCGCCACCTGAGGGAGCATGAGTCATTGGGCCCTTGGGTCCCACAAGGGATAGACATTTGGAGTGGGCAAACCCAGAGAAGGGGCTGGGTGAGAAGCACCCCCGCTAGTCAAGGCCCTAAGGGGAGGGGCCCCTGGTGCTTTCTGGACACTCCACAAGGGACCCCACTGGAAGGAGGACTATCTCTTGCCATGGGTCATGGACTATATTAAGGAATAAATGCTATTAAGATTGTTCAGGTTTGCGCCTTATATTTTGTAATTGAAATGTTATATTGTGATGTTGTAAACAGTGTTATTTAGGGTTTGACATTGCTTATTGGTTCTTGTTCACTGTGTAAATATAGATATATGATATTTAGTTTTATGTTTATTATAACTTAATAAATTGTATATAGTTGAGAACTTTGGGCTTGGGCTAACTCTAGAGAGGAAAGAGGGATCTGCTTGAAATTCTGGCGTCCCTCTCATAGCACCCCCTCCTCCCTACCCATCCCATTCAATTGAGAATAGGACACACCCTTGGGTGTACCTGGGTGTGAGAGAGAGAAGGAGCCACCAGGCTCCAAGGCTCCTGGGCTAACCAAAGGTTCAGCGGCCCCAGGTCCGCAGCCCCAAGGAGCCGGCAGAAATTCCCCTTACCCAGGTGTGTCGGGAAGGGAGGGGCCGAGAATTCCCCCGCCGGTATAAAGAAGAGCCCGGGACAGGCAAGAGGCAACAGCGCAGAACCAGAAAGAGGAGGAGGAGGAGGAGGAGGATGTGGAGCACGCCAGCACACGCTGCAGGGAACTCTAAAAGCGACGTTGTGCTGGTAGGAGCCTCTGGCAGAGAGCAAAACCCCAGCAGGGTTTTAGAACCCAGTTTACTAGCCCCAGCCCGGAATAGAACTGGTTGTTTACCAGGGGAAGCTGGCTGAGCCCCCCCTGAGAAAGGTACTGTAATAACCCTAATAGAGGGGCATTATTGAATTTGGGATACTGTAGTACATGTAATAGTGGCACAAGCCAATAGTACGGACTTAAGCTGTTAAAAGAAATCGTGGCAAGCTCTACAAGAGGCTCTCAGAGAAAGAGAGAGAACCAACAAAGAGGGACTGACCTCACGAAGGTCAATTTTTGGTTCAAAGTGTGGCTGTAGACAGTGGGAGCAGTGACACAGGCCAGGAGAGCCTTCTCTGTGTTTGTGTTTTCTTTTTGGCCTCTGTTTTGTTGTTGTTAATTGTTTGAGAGGAACTGAGGACACGTGGCTGGCCCAACTGGCTGGCCACCTCCCGATGGAACGGGCGAGGGTGTAGGGGTGGTGGAGCCCTCAGAAACTTGGGACCTCGCGGGACGTTGGTGAGACTACTAATTGGACTACATGTGAAGGTATATGAACCAACTCCGTTAACATCAAGTTGTGGCAGGAGAAACATGGGTGTGTAAGATCCTCAATTAGAGCTGATAACACCCTAGTTGAGTGGCAGGCAGCGTCCTTCAGGTCCACAAGGGACTGCAATACTTGACACCGGGTTACACTTACATAGGGACACCTAAGCCAGCTCCATGACACCTCCTCAGGCATTGGTCATGGCTGCCATGATTATTTCTGGTTGTGTTTGAGTGATAGTGTAGCTGTGGTACTTCCAGAAATGTTCGAGAAGCAAGGATATTTGGTGGGGTAGAACAGGGGATATATTTTATTGGACCAAGTGCATGGTTGGGAGGGATTTTAGACAAGTTTGCATGAACAAGTGCTCTTCAGGCAGTAGCATAACTAAGAGTGGGGAGAGGAGAGCCCTGACACCAACTTAGGGAGGGGGGCACAACTATAACAGCTGCAATGCTGCTGTACCCAGCCGCGAAAAGCTGTGCTGCCCCACGCACCACTGCTCCCTTGCTATGCCCTTGCCTATAGGTCTGAGGAAGCAGAGGTGCTAATAGATTTCATACATTTTCAGGGTCAGAAGGACCTCAGCAGATCAAGTCTGACTCCCTGCCCTGGGCAGGAAAGAGCACTGGGGTCAGATGACCCCAACCAGGTGTTTGTCCAGTCTCTTCTTAAAGATCTCCAAAGTAGGGAGAGCACCACCTCCCTTGGAAGCCCATTCCAGATTCTAGTAACCCTTGCCATAAAGAAGTTCTTCCTATTAAATCTAAATTTGCTGTCTGTCAGTTTGTGGCCATTGTTTCTAGTTACTCCAAGGGGCACCTTGGTAAATGGAGTATCTCCTATTCCTTACTGCCCCCTCCTCCTCCCCTGACAAATTTGTAGATGGCCACCAAATCCCCTCTCACCCTTCTCTTACGGAGGCTGAAGAGATCCATGTCCCTCAACCTCTCCTCATAAGACCTATCCTGCAGGCCCCTATAAGAGTAGCACTCCTCTGCACTCTCTCAAGGTTATCCACATCCCTCTTGTAGTATGGCACCCAAACTGACCAGTACTCCAGCTGCCTTACCAGTGCCACATAGAGGGGAAGTATCACCTCTCTAGACCTGTTCGTGATGCACCTGCTAATGCGCGATAGACTGCAGTTAGCTCCATCGATCATTTTGTCACATCGTCAACAGACTCATGTTCATCTTCGAGTCAGCCATGACTCCAAGATCGCTTTCTGCTGCTGTGCTACTTAGAAAGTCATCCCCCAATCTGTATGTGTGTTGGTGATTCCTTCTCCCTTGGTGCAGTACTTTGCACTTATCCTTGCTAAACTGTTTTCTTATTTTGTTTGACCCATTTTTTCCAGCTTGTCCAAATCTGCCTGAATCCACGCCCTGTCCTCTGGTGTGTCTGCTTTGCCCCATAATTTGGTGTTGTAAGAGAGGGAAAAAA